ACTAAATACTTTTTTGCCCCACAGTATGTGCAAAGAGCAGGTTGCTGCAGGTGAACGTGAGGCCATCTCCTGTGGGAAAGAGTTGTCACGTAATATAAAACTAAAAGATAAGACAGGCCACAGATACATGACTTCTCCTTCCAGAACAGGCTCTGTGGTGCGCCCGGGCAATTGACCCCTCACCCTGACCCCAGTACAGCGGGGAGATGTACGACAGAAAAGACAGAGCTGAGAGGGAGGGAAGAGGGGGTAACAAGAAATGATGAATGAGAGGTATGTGGAAGAGAGGGGGATGATCAGGTGCAGGGGGAGTTGCAAGAGCAGGACAAAAGAAGAATGATGGAAGGAGGGAAAAGAAGGAGAAGGCCAAGGTAAATATTCCTCAGAGGACTCAAGGCACACGCTCTGGGCTTCTCAAGAGTCCTTAACTGCTGCTGCTGGAGTCATTGATATTCATACTATGAATATAGCACCTGATATTGATGATTAACTCTAAACAAATGTTTTTAGAAGTTTAGTTTCTAATGCAACATGATGTAAACATTGAAAAACTATCATTTGAAAGCATATGCAATTATCTTCTAACTTTGCTGCATGTGTCTTTCACACATGCAGCTCATACTATTCATAGACTGGACCTGGGCTGCTGGCTAGTTTCATTTTCAATTTGTATTTTGTTGACAGTGATCTTGCATATATCATAGCTGGCATTTGTTATTTCCATTAGCCTGTGGCTAGTAATATCCATTTCTACTTCAATCCTCTGAGACAGAGAACAAAAAAACTTCAAAGATGTGTAACTTAGTGGAGTCAAAGCCCGGCGCCTAACACAACACAGAAATAAAACTAACATCTGTTAGGCCCAACAAGAATAACGGCTGCCATTTGTTATCACTGCTGTAGGCTTTACCAATCCATCTGTTTCTATATCCAACTCTACCTAGTGAAGTGATACTATAAAAGGATGCCAGTGGGAGTGAGGTTTTCACATGGAAGCATTGCAGAGGCAATACAGCAAGTTACCTTTCCACTATTTCCTCTTCATCTGCCTCTCACTGCACACACTCACAGATGCACACTGTACCAACTTCACACTCTAACCTGAGAGCTGTTGTTTGAATCTTTGTGTGTATCTTCAGTCTAATCGTGCTACAATGTGCACGCCAATGTGATTGCACACCGGCAAGTGTGCTTGTGCATGCATGTGTTTGTCCACGTTAGTGTGTGGGTGATATACAATCCATCAGGGAAGCTGAGGAGTGTTCCTTCCTTTTGTTCACGTCGTCCCCCAGCCTCATTAGAACCCATTCAGTCAATCAAGCATGAATCCCTAACACAATAACATGCAAAGTGCTTTGTCTGGGTGTAATTGGCCTTGCCAGAGCTGTTTCTCTCAAACGGTTAGCTTTACTCGCCTCCCTCAGACCGCAGCCAGGAGCGCTGTCCAACAAAGGCAGCTGGCCCGAGAAGGATGGCGAGATGATATGAGGAAAAGAAAAAGCGATAGAGATAAGGAACCAAATACTTAAAAGAGCAAGATGGAGAGGCGAGTATAGCTCCTTAACAGGTACATTTTTTTTTAATAGATATATAAAGTATTTATTTAATAACTTAAGCAACCGTACGTGTCAGTACTGTGTGTGTGTGTTTATCAGTACTGTGTGCAGTCATCTAGAACTCCTGTCGGTCACAATCACACGTGTTCCCCATTACCATGACAAACCAGTTGACATCCCATTTCCCCGACACACACACACAACAACACCACACACTCAAGAACCTACACACATGAAGGCCTAATGGGAGATAGATAACAAATGGGGTGCAGAAACATGGCCCGTCTGTATCCCCGTAGGAGCGACTGTTTTTTCGCTATGATGAGTGACACGACTGACTGACACTTTTGTGCAGACCAACCCAATAGCCAATCTACTGAAATTGTGTGGTGACATTGTTGATTAAGCAGACATACACTGGATGGTGTGTGAGTCGTTACAGTGGTGTCATTGGCACAGTGAGATGCAGTGTCAATGTATATACGACATTATACTGATGGAGAATGTTCTGTATGTGCGTCACATGCGCATTTCAAGGACGGCAAATGTAACTGTAAATATCAAAGGGGAACATTTGACTTTGAATCACAGGTTTTGCAGGACTCAACCAAGGCAACAGCACCCTAAACTGCTGAAATAATCATCAGCAGTCAAGTACTGCCATCTAGTGACATTAAAAAGAGCTTCTCCCAACAAAAATACAGCCAGAAATGATTAACTACATTAAATACAGGACACATTTAATGGAAAAGCTGAACTTGCAAAACACTTGAATTACTGAGGCTGTTTGAAATGGACGCCGCAGCGTCACTGTTTACTTAGCTAAATTCATGAATTCATCTTCCTGCCATGCATCTTTTTCACTGGATCTCTCAGCCTCCTCAGATCAATAGCTTTGTTTGGTCCAGCAACACCTCCCAGTGTTTTCACTTGTCTCTCCCTGCAGGATGGGAATTAGACGTCCTGTCCTGTGCAGTGGTTATGCTGTGAATCAGAAAAGCCAAATTAAATTACCTAATTGGTTTCCATGGGAAGGGTAAAACAGATTTAAATTGATTACCCGTAATGGCCTTTTGTGGAGCCACATTGGCTTCTGCTGTTTGAGGAGGATTTAGCTAAACCAATTAATTTGCTTCACCTCTTACGCGCCCTCCTTGTGTTTCCCTTTGTCCCTGTCTGGGAGCTTTTTCATCTTTTGCGTTTTCCACTTCCTAATGCCCTCCTTCATTCCCCTACAAATAAAAAGGGATGATGACGATAACGTCACTGGATAACAATCATTCAGGCCTAATTGGCTGACTACTGTCACATTCCGGTGCTGATCAAATGTTTTTTTTCCAGGTCTCCTGTTACGAGACTGGCCTGACAAAAGATAATTTAAATCTCTCTTTCAATTACGTCGGCTGGGCCTGTTTCCTTCCACACGGCTCGCTGTTGCCGATTGCTTCAGCTGAGGGAAAAGTAAGATGTCAAGGTTAAAATTTGTCACACAAGCTGATTAAATCCCCTAATATGTTCTCCCTGTCTCTGTATCCCTGCTTCTGTGTTTCTCCAGCTCCCATCAAATATCTTCATTACCAGACCTATGACATTTTAATGTGAAGATTACAATTACTTAATGTGATTTCATTAATAACACGGAGTAACTATTGTGTATGATTAAAACAGATGTCATCTACCACATGGGAAAAGGAATCATTTTCTTCTTTCATATTTTTCTTTTTTCCCCCAGCATACTATAAAATATGAGGCCATATCGTGAAGTCAGCATCATCTGTTACTCGGTTTTGACTGGGCAAAGTGAGAATGGTGTACTGAACTTTTTCCAGCTTTATTGCTTGCAGTAAAATCAAATGCAGCTAGGCTGAATGGCCCATGACAAATGAACAAAATAATTTCAAGCATTGTAAATGTATGTAGGCTATAGCCAACTTTATGGATTACAGTTGAGAGAAACAAACTTCCAGTGCCTAAGGTTAAAAAAATATGCAAAAATAATGGTTTGAGTATACTCATATTTTTTGCATATTTGTTTTACTTCTTGTTTAGCTGGATTATACGATTATACGGAGCCCCTAGGGGACATGGAGAAGAAAAAAAAAATCTCGCAAAACCCCTTTGCGCCTAAAGACTGTTCTGTGGTTGCTTCCCCACCTGTATAAGAGAAATGAATCTACGACAACCTTTTACAAACCGCTGAAGAAAATAAAAAGTATCCTGTAAAGACTGAGCTACAAAATGTATACAATGATAGCATAAAAGACCAAAGAGGAGATATTCTTTCTTTCACCAAAATGAAACTTGCTGCTCATCTGAGATTCCCTGCCCACAGCTTTTATCTTTGACCTGTGGTTTGCAAGCCGAAGGCCACAGGAACAGTTTGCATGCCAATATGAGTGAGTAGAGGCATCATCTAAGTATAAGGTCAGACTTTTTGATAAACAAACACAGTTGTTTGAAGTGAATCCTTTATTTCAGACAAAACTGGTTTGATCAATGAACATTGATATGAGAATAAAATCTTCTTCATTCTATAAACATTCAACTTGTCTGAAGCAGTGCTCGGCCATGTGCACATATCTTCAAACTATGACCAAAGCAAGTACATTTATAGTGTTAAAGATACTACACAGCTTTTTTTTGTATTTTGCGCAGCGCACATTTGATTGTAAAACCCATCAGCCTTGACTGAGGCTACCTGCTTGGTAAACATACAGGGCAGATAAGTTATACTTCATGTTCTCTGGGAATCTTAAGGCAGTTGTAATTTAGACATTTCTAACTAGATGTGAGCACACATTTGTCAATTGTAAAAAAAAAATGAAAGAATAAAATAAACAGTTTGAAAAGTATTAAGGGGAAGAGGATACAATTATTTCCTGTCATAGTTGATGTTGTATTTTGACCTTGAATTTATGTGTTGAAAAGCAATCCACTCCAAGCATCAGGTGCAAGACACATCCTGTGCATTTGCATGCCACATTCTGAATCAAGCCACAGCTCCTACGGAGTTGTCATACCCTCAACAGGACATGTTGTGGGTTGTTGCACACCGAGATGGAGTAACAAGAAATTACTGTTACTGTAGGTGAATCAAGATAATAAAAAAACGAACATGTTTTAAATGATCATTGGACTTTATTCAGTCATACAACCCTGTTTTCCATTTTTAAAGGTCCCCTATTATACAGTTTTTCATCAATATATTATAGTTCTCAGATACAAAACATGTCTCTGAAGTGTTTTGCTTGAAATACCAAACACATCATGCATTGTAGCATCCCATAAACCCCTCTGTTTCAGCCCTGTTTCAAAAGTTCTGATTCTCTGTCTGTTACTTTAGATGAAAATAAGGAGCCCCCCCCCACGCCCCTCTGAGAGATATTTGGTTAAAAATAACACAATGGTGCTCTAGGAGGAGATTCAGGTGATAAGGTGGGGGGGTGTTACCTTGGTTGGTTATTGGCTAATGGTTACACAAGCCAAAAAAACATTATGACATCATAAAGTGGCCAAAATCTCTGCATTTTTCAAGAATTGTTCTGTAACCCCATAATGTTTCTCTGTGAAATAAAGGCAAAGTATGCATCACGTTCCTCCACCTCACTTAGGAAAGTCCTGGACCTGAAAATCCAATAAACATGAATTACAACCAGTAAATAGAAATTAAACTGCGGAGTGCATTCAAACATTATTTCGGATACATCTGTGCAGACTCCCAGAATATAAACTTAAATTGCATCTTGAAAAAGCATTTGGTCACAAAGAAAGAAAGTTTGCTCTCACCTGCTCAGACCAGGGGGTAGGTGGCTCGAGTAGCGATGCCACACTGGTTGTGTTTGTTCCTGCTCATCTTGATGTAACCCTGGTCTCCCCACCCGAGGCCCCAGCTACAGAAACAAACACATTACCAACAACATTCAGCCCCACTATGTAAAGAACTACAATATAAGTACCAACAGCAAGTATAGACAAATTATTGTTTTACTGATGAAAGAGAAATTATAGTAGAAATGAATTTTAAGTTAAGTTGAAGAGGTTGACAACGACCTGAGTTTGACTTAATTTGACAGCTATAAATAAGACGCATAACTGCAGCTGTTTGTGGAAACAGGAACTTTGTTAATCCACTACTAAGAGATAGTATACGGTGCATACATTTGAATATTAGTACCATATTTTGGTATTTACCTGTTCTTCACCAGCCAGTAGTCATGTCCATTGTCACTGCCGTAACCCACAGCCAGTACAGCATGGTGCAACTTTGAGCTGCTGCATTTTGGCTCATCGTACAGTCCTAGAAACACACAAAGCCACATAAGACAGACATAAGTTTGAGTTAAATATATATAATATTTTCTCTCTGAGAATATGCGTGTTTATAACTGTTCACCTGAGTGATACAGCTTGAAGGATGCATGAGAAATATCAATGGACACAGACACAGGTCCCACGGTGGCCACAGCGTCTTTCAATGCAACTTCGTCTCCTTGGTTCACGCGGACGTAGCCTGTGCATGTGGCAGCGCTAAGGGCAGGGTTGTGACGGCATTCACCATCCTATTTGGAAGAAAAAAATCAACAATTGACAAAATGTGGAAATGTCTTACGTGGAGGGCCAACATTTTGAAAACATTATAAATGAGTTGAGTTCCATCAGGATAGTTCCTAGGCAGGATTATGACGGCATATATAATCCTATTTGAAGGGAATTTTTTTTACAATTGACCTTCTTTAAAAAAAAAGTTAAGAGGTGAACATAATCTTAAACGGAGGGCCAACATTTTGAAAACATTACGAATAAGATGAGTTCCATCTTCAACTACACTTTTTAACATGCTAATGACACATTTCTGTCTTACACAGGATGCTGTACATTCAAAGAAGAGCCAAACAGATTGTGTTTACAATAGCCTGATAAGGGTAGGAGTTTTCTGTTTCTATCCCTCCGTTGGCTTCAATGTAATTGAAGGCGTGTTTCGTCAAGCCCCCATTGCAACCAGAATTCCGATAGTCACGGGAGCAGTCCACCAGCTGCTGCTCGCTCAGAGACACTAGCTTCCCTGTCTTCCTGAAGTGCTGACCCTCCAGCGAGCCAGTCTGAAAGATACATTTGTTAAATGAAACCAGGGTATATTGATGTAAAGTTTACTGTGTTACCAAAAGAGAGAACAACAAGTAATGTTTGTACATACTGCACTGAAGGCCCAGCAGGAGCCACAATCCATCTGGTCCTTGACTTCAGTCACATATCCCTTATCCCTCCAGTCAACATTGTTGGGCAGATCGGATTCTCCAGGCAGTCGGAAAAAAGCAGGACCAGTTTGAGGCAGAGAAGTGTTGAAGAAACCGAGGCAACCCTTGGAAATCAGGTGTCTGTACTCTTCATTCTCCTGATAAAGAAGAGCAAAAGTTTAATTTATTAGGGTCTTTAACTAAAACGCCATTCACTGCATCCTCACATGCTGATTACAACCAATAATAGCAGTTTGTCATAAAAGTTAAAAACAAAAATACTTCAGAAACTATTTGTGTTTTTCTACACATACCATGTCAGCGAATTTGGTCATGCCAAGGCGGTAGGACTTGATGCCCTGATCAGCCATGATGTTGTGCTTCTGCACCAGTCTGCGGTTGTTGAGCCAGATTTCCATGCGCTGAGCCTCCTCTACCGGGGAGTTGTAGGACCTTCCTGCCAGCAAATTAGAAACAAAAAGACTGATTCTCCGGTAAACAGATTTCCCTTTATTAGCTGAAAAACTAAAGTGTATGCTGTAAACTTCTTAACACGTGGGCAGATCACACATTGCTTTACTTTAGATGTTTAGCGCTGTTGTGTGTAAGTGTGAGTATACATTTAGCACACTCCAAATGTAAGCCTCACAGGCAGTTTTTCCAATGAAAACAGATCTACGGTGATTGACAACAGACAAATGTCACCAAATATTGTCTCACCAAACTGGACTTTCCAGGCGTGGAACTCCAGGTCATCTGAAGAGATGGAGGCACAGCTAGCCACGGCCAGAGCAGCAGCAGCAACCAACAACAGCTTCATCCTGACTGACACACAAGCAGAAAAAGCAAATAGATCCTTTGTTATTTACAGAAAATCATACAGGCTGAGATTAAACTCTTTCACTTCTACTTTTTCTCACAAACAATGTATCTATTTCCTGTTTGCTTTGAATCTCTGTTTCTCTTCCTCATACTCTCAACTTCATCAGTCTCTGTTTATTTGAATCAATGTCCCTTTACATAACCTTACATGATTCACTTAACAACTCTGAATCTGTTCTTTGGATAGGTGAGCCATCATGTTCTGGTTTCATAATGGTTCTGCAGTTCTTGGTGTATGTGCTGAAGTAAAGTACACAAGAGGACACCTCTTGCAGACCCAACACTGAAAAACACTGTTTTATTTTTACATTTAATTATAATTCCAATTAAATAGCGATGTGAATTCCTTTAAAAAGGAAATACAGAAATCAAAACATCACATTATACAAATATTCAGGGTGTAATATGTTTTACATGAAACCTAACCAACTAAATTATGCCAAACGTGATGTTTGTACATACTGCGCTGAAGGCCCAGCATGAGCCACATTGCTTCTGATCCTTGACTTCAGTCACATATACGTTATCCTGTCTGTCTGGCAGATCAAGTCCTTCAGGCAGTCGGAGAAAAGCAGAGCCAGTTTGAGGCAGATAAGTGTTGAAGAAACAAAACCAAGGGAACCCTGGAAAATCAGGCATCTGTACTCTTCATTTTCCTGATAAAGAGGGGCAGAAGTTTCATTTATTAGGGTCTTTAACTAAACCACATTCACGGCATCCTCACATGCTGATTTCAACCAGAGACAATAATAACAGTTTGTCGTAAATGTCAAGAGTTTAAAACAAAAAATATGCAGACACTATTTGTGTTTTTTGTATTCATACCATGTCAGCGAATTTTGTCATGCCAAGGCGGTAGGACTTGATGCTCTGATCAGCCATGATGTTGTGCTTCTGCACCAGTCTGCGGTTGTTGAGCCAGATTTCCCCTGTGCTGAGCCTCCTCTACCGGGGAGTTGTAGGACCTTCCTGCCGGAAAAAAATAGAATTTATTTTTTAAATGTTCCAGTCAAGAAATTTCCACTGATAAGATGAAAAACAAAAATGTATGCTGTAAACTTGTTATCATGTAGGCAGAGCACAAATTCCTTTACTTAGACGTTTAGCTGTGTTGTGTGAAAATGAGTACACATTTAGCACACTCCAATTGTAAGCATCACAGGCAGTTTTTTCATAGAACAAAGATCTACTTTGTTCGACAGCAAACCACAATAATTAGAAATACCCGGATAAGAGTGTCTCACCAAACTGTAGTTTCCAGGCATCAAACTCTGTCATCTGGAGAGATGGTTGAACAGCTGACCACGGCCAGAGCAGCAGCAGCAACCAGAAACAGCTTCATCCTGACTGACACACAGATCCCTTGTGACTTGCAGGAAACCACACAGGTCGAGATTAAACTCTTTCACTTCAGCTTTGTCTCATAAACTTTCCTTTATTCAATGTACCAGCTATATTGCATGCTTCCTTTGAATCTCTGTTTCTCTTCCTCAGACTCTTTCTGAACTTCACCAGTCTCTGTTTATTTGCATCAATGCACCTGCAGTACAAATAGTGTTTGCGCTTGTCTATCTGTGTGTTCCCTATTATTTCTGCTGTGGTTGCTTACCTGCCTCTATCAAATTGATGTCAAGTTTGAGGTCTGTCCGCCTGTAGGTGATGTAGGGCTCTGCATCTGTTCTTTGGTGAGTCATCATGTTCTGGTTTCAAAATGGTTCTGCTGAAGTAAATTCCATGTACAGCATACAACACCTTCTGTCCTTAGACCGTCATATCGTACAAGGAGTTACTTCCAAAGAAACCCCAAAATAAATGCGGATAAAACGGAAGAAACCTTCGGAAGAGCAACAAAGGAGGGATCCCTCTCCCTGGAAAGACAGACGTGCAATAGATGTTGTGTGTATAGATTAATAAATAATCATTTAGCCACAGCCACAACTCATGATCCAGGTGTAACCTTTAATACTGACAACCTGCCAGGTGAGAGACTCAAAAACTCTGAGGATGACGCCCTGGATGCTAAGTTAGTAACCTGCATTACTACATGCATTTATGGGACATGAGTGCATACAGATAGAGAACATGAGTGCATACAGATGTGACATTTCCTCAACAGTATAAGCCTATAGCAGCATAATAAGGAGCTGGTCCAAGGCAAGCCTGCGCCAGCCCTAACTCTAAGCTTTATCAAAAAGGAAAGTCTCAAGCTTACTCTTAAAAATGGAGAGACAGTCTATCTCCTGAACATAAACTGGAACCTGGTTCCACAGGAGAAGAGGCTTTGAATGTAATGTCTTCAAGGCATTCTTGAATTGTAATTGTGATTGATTGATTGATATAACTGAGTACCATTTGTCATGAATCGGCACAATACAAATACAAAAGGAACACTTTAGTTCACAGATCAAGGTTTTTTTGTGCTTATGCGCTCTTGAGAAAGAGGTTGGCATGTGTGGAGTACACACCTAGATGTTCATGTGCATTAGTGTGTGTAAAGTTACCGATAAATTGTTTGATTCTGCAGACAAACAGAACACTTGGTTTTCAGAGTTTTCCACCACCACAACTCCAACATTATTTGCTTTCTCTTGACCAAAACAATACACAAATAATTCCTTCTAATTTAACTCTGGATAATAACCAAAAAAAAGACAACGGATGGAAAATAACACAAACACGGAATGGCTGCTTTTATAGTCGTTTTTTAGCCAATATACATTTTGCCCAAAAGATGGCGGTATTGCACATTGGAAGGCCAACATTTGTAATATTGAATGAGATGAGTTCCATCTGCCACTAAACTTTTTGCAGGATAATGACAAATATCACTAAAGAAGTTTTCAACCAAACAGATATTGTTGGTAACACTTTATTTTGATAGTCCATCAGTTGACATTCATCAACACAGTTTCAACAGACAATTAACATGCATTCAACTAACTGCCAATAGAATAAGGTACATCTCAAGTGTTGATCTATAGATTTTACAAAAAGTGCCTGTTGACTGTCAACATGTTTTTTTGCAACAGGTTATTAACCACTATTCAACATTACGATCTGTAGATTGTGTCAGCCTCTTCAAAATTGACAATCAACTACTCAAAATCAATCTGTCAGTTGAAAGTCAACAGGGTCATGTCGACTATCTGTTGATAATCTGTTGAGTCAAGATGTCAACTAAAGATTACATTAAGCATTAGTTGACGATCAACAGATAAGCAACTAAAGTTTAGTTGACGATCTGTTGATCGTCAACTAATCTAGAGTTGACTATCAGCATACTTTTAGTAAGCATTCTCCACTGCGTTTGTAGGCATGTGTTAGGACTATCCAATTAAAGTGAAAAACTGTTGAGAACAGTAGAAAGTCTATAACCTATCAACAGAACACATACATTCATCCACTAATTATATGCAACAGACATGGGAATAAAGCGAAATGTTCTGCAGCACTGATCACAAACACTGGATAACTGAAGTCAATACCAGGCTATAAAGCACAGTAAAACAAACACTATATGCAGCATGTCAGAGAAAGAAGGCTTTTTTATTTTAAGAATATATACTACACATATAGTAAAAACACTGAACAGTTCTGAAATGGTCAAAATAAAGTTTGAAACACATTATCTACCAGCTGGTAGTCAATACCAGGCAAACGAAAATAAATCACTGCGCTGCAGATTTTTACAGTTTAATAATTATAAATAAAATAAACAACGAAAATTGACCAACAGAAGAACATTACATTATTATCTACCCTGAGACCAAGGTCAATCTTTAAAAACAGGAAGACCCCCCACCCCCACAACAACAATAACAACAACAACGTTCAACCCACATTCAGAATTTCCTGACAGAAAAGGGGATGAGCTGTTTGTTGCTTTTCATTTCAACTATCTTTTCTGCCAGTTCACCAACAATTTTTTTCTGACAAAGTTGGGCTAATTTCAAAAGTGTGTATTTACCCTTGAACTGGTCTAGGACACTCTTATCCACCAGGAATACTTCTGCAATTGCTGCAGTGTCTTTCACAGCATTTCTTGAAACTCAAGCTTTCTTGAAAGCTTTGGTCATCCTGAAGCCTCTCTGCACCAGTTTAAGGACACGCCGATATCTTCTCACCACATCTGAGATGGAAGAAACTGAAAAATAAATAATACATTAATTTCAATAAATGTTATAGTGTGCAGTGTCTTAGTTGCAGGGTGAGCCATAGTGTTTATTCCATATTTTCTCTTGAAAAGGGACTACAACTTCGATGAATGTGTGTGACTTCCCGTTTGTTTTAGAACATGTGTTGTATTTCATAGTAGGTACTAGGTAGTGCCAGTTTGTGGCAGAGAAGTGTTGAAGAAACCGAGGCAACCCTGGGAAATCAGGCGTCGGTACTCTTCATTTTTCTGATGAAGAGGGGCAAAAGTTTCATTTATTAGGGTCTTTAACCAAAACGCATTCACTCACATGCTGATTACAACCAGGGACAATAATAACAGTTCATCATAAATGCCATGAGTTTTAAACTACTACTAACTAATACTGCAGAAAGTACATTTGTGTTTTTCTTTACATACCATGTCAGCGAATTTGGTCATGCCAAGGCGGTAGGACTTGTTGCCCTGATCAGACATGATGTTGTGCTCCAGCACCAGTCTGAGGTTGTTGAGCCAGATTTCCCTGCGCTGAGCCTCCTCTACCGGGGTGTTGTAGGACTTTTCTGCCAATCAGAAGAAAAACAATCCATGATGAATAATTAACTGAAAAACAAAATTGTATGCTGTAAACTTCATATCATGTAGGCAGAGCACACATTCCTTTACTTTAGACCTTTAGCTGTGTTGTGTGTAAATGAGTACACATTTAGCACACTCCAAATGTAAGCCTCACAGGAATGTTTTCCACAGAACAAAGATCTACTTTGTTCGCCAACAAACCACAATAATGACAAAAGTCTCACCAAACTGAAGTTTCCAGGCGTGGAACTCCAGGTCATCTGAAGAGATGGAGGCACAGCTGGCCACGGCCAGAGCAGCAGCAGCAACCAGCAACAGCTTCATCCTGACTGACACACAGACTGAAGAAAAACAAACACATCCTTAGTGACTTGCAGGAAACCACACAGGTTGAGATTAAACGTGTTCACTTCCACTTTGTCTCACAAACTTGTCCTTCCTTCTAGCAATGTATCAGCTCTATTTCCCGGTTCTTTTGATTCTCTGACTATTTATCAACAGCAGTACAAATTGTGTTTGCGCTTGTCTGTCTGTTTTAGTGTTCCCTATATCTGCTGTAGTTGCTTACCTATCTCTCTCAGTTGATGTGACGTTTGAGGTCTGTCCACCTGTAGAATATGCAGGGCTTTGTTAGGGGACCTTCTTATATAGCTGACTGCAGTTCATAAATAAAATCTGAAAAGCACGTAATGAAATATTGGAAAATTGCACAATGCACTTTATTCGGGAAACATACAACATGGTCATCAATTCCTTTTCTCAATTAAGTTATACAATAGAATAATACACCCTCTGCCCTCAGACCCTTACATCAGACAAGGAACAAACTCCCAAAGAAATGTGGGCGGTCCTTTGTGATGTATTTTATTTCTACACAATATAAATATTTGTATCATATGGGTTTAGTGTACATAGTTTGTCAAAACAATAGTTATATGATAGTACCTAGTAAGTTTGATTCTGAAACCATCAAGTAAAATGTTACTTTACAGGACTGTCTCAGAAAATTAGAATATTGTGATAAAGTTCTTTATTTTCTGTAATGCAATTAAAAAAACAAAAATGTCATACATTCTGGATTCATTACAAATCAACTGAAATATTGCAAGCCTTTTATTATTTTAATATTGCTGATNAATATTTGTATCATATGGGTTTAGTGTACATAGTTTGTCAAAAAAATAGTTATATGATAGTACCTAGTAAGTTTGATTCTGAAACCATCAAGTAAAATGTTACTTTATACATACTAAAGTGTGAAAAGTACACTCCATACAATCAAGCATTTACATCAACAGTCAGGTGACAAGAACAATTCATCAATCGATCAATCAAATTTTACTTCACAAAGTACACATTTTTTTTCAGGGGCCTTTACAAAAAGTGCAGCATACGACACCCCCTGTCTAGACCTTTGCAGCAAACAGGTGTAAACTCCCATAGAAACGCCACAATTAATGAAGAATTATTGGGGAAATTATCAAAGGAGGGATCCCTCTCCCTGGCCAGACACATGAGCAATAGATGTTGTGTATAGACAATAGAAAATCAGAATTATAAAAAATGTAATAATGCATCATGGAGGACGTCAACATTCTTCAAGGTGCTGCCAAAAACAATAATGTAGGCGTCAGGCAGGAAAACGGCAACAGGTGCAGCCACGACTCATGATCCTGACATAAATAATACTGGCAACCTGGCAGGAAAGAGATGGAAAAACTCCTGGGATGACGCCCCGGATGCTAAGTTAGTATCATGCATTTTTGGGAACAGGAAGAGAGATGAGAAATTAAATATGAAATTCCCTCGACAGTCAAAGCCTATAGCAGCATAACTATAAGCGTCATTAAAAATAAAAGTCTTAACCCTTACCCTGGCTTTCATTGTATTTTAGGCTGTATAAATCATGAATAACCATACATTATTGGATGCAATGCCCCAGTGTTCCTCTACTGTGACATGTTCACATGCTTTGATGTTTGAAAGCACTTTATTTCTTTTGGTTAGTGATTGTTCGACCGTTCAGATATGTCCCGCCTTAAGTCTACCACGTACAATGTGTTGGAGCGCTAGCCAATAGAAGCACGGGTGTAACATAATGATGTCACTATGTTACTGAACTAAACAAAGGATTCCAATCCAGGGCGTTTCAGAGAGAGGGGCGACTGTGTTGGAGAAAAACCCCCTCTGGCGTGATCCTTAACACACTAGAGAAAAATGAGAACCCCCAAAACTATTATAACCATAAAATTGAGCCAGTTTAGAGCAGCTAATACAGGAGTAATATGGTCTTGTTTTCTAGCTCTTGTCAATACACATGCTGCACCATTTTGGATCAACTGAAAAGTCTGAAGAAGCATTTGGGTACAACCTGAAAAAAAGGAATTACAATTGTTTTGAGGTAGGATTTGCCTTGTCTATGTAATGGTACAAAGTTGAAAGAAGGAAGCCATTGAAATCAGTTTTTTTTAAGGAAGTTAAAGGACATACCCTGATAAGTTGTGCTGGAGGCCAAGTTATTGCCATCCACAGTAAGTATGTCATTACATGATTTGTTTCAGAGTTGTTTGGGGCCAAGATAAATATGGTCAGTATTGTCTGTGTTTAACCTTAAAAGGTGGGGTTCATCAACTTTTGTATGTCCTTAAGGCCTTTCTTGAATTGTATTTGATTAATTGGTTTCATTCTGGCTGGTTTTATATATATAATTGAGCATCATGGGTCATGATTCCCCACAACTGCCACATTGTGGATTTCTTATTTTGGTCGCATGTCGATGTCGTTTTATTCGTCTGCATCGGCTTGAACATGACGTTTATGACACTTAGCTAATAGCTTTGGAAATAAAATGTGAACTGTCTGAAATGAAGGAAACAGCTTTTTTACATAATTATTGCCATGGTTACTAACAGTCAGCTACCAGGCTGCTCTTTAGACGGCTATTGCTTCCTCTTGACCCAAAACATACACATCAACAAATTCGTACTAAGATAATGGTGGACAATAAAAAAAGAACAAATAATTGAAGTATAATTGTTTATTTTTAAATCAGTTTATTTTACGCTACATGTATTGCATTTAAAGTGCAGAAAGACACTGTACAACTAACTTCCATGAAGCAACAATATGACATATTTTTCCATAACTCAGTTTCTTTATTAAATGTAAGCAAAATCTGCATCATTTTCTTCCACCTCATTTGGGACTTTTCTGGACCTGAAAATCCAATACACATAAATTACATCCAGTAAATAGACATTAGGGTGCATACACGCATTATTCAGGATACATCTGTGCAGAAAGCCTTGTTTAAATTGCATTTTCAAATAGCATAATGAGAAAATAAACTTTGCTCTCACCTGCTCAGACCAGGGGGTAGCTGGACGCAGTAGCGATGCCACACTGGTTGTGTTTGTTCCTGCTCATCCTGATGTATCCCTTGTCTCCCCATTCTAGGCCCCAGCTACAGAAACAAACACATTACCAACAATATAAATCTCCTGTAAAGAATCACAACAGTGGTAACAAGAACAGGTAGATAAATAGTGATTGGTTTTCTGATAAAGATAACTTATAGTGGCAATTCATTTTAAGTTGAAGAGCTTGACAACTGTCTGTCCACGTGTGGGTGCTAGCATTAAAACAGTTCAACATTTCAAATATGAGCAACATTTGTATTGTATTTACCTGTTCTTCACCAGCCAGTAGTCCTGTCCATTGCCACTGCCGTAACCAACAGCCAGAACACCATGGTCCAACTCTGAGCTGCTACAATCTGGCTCATCATACACTCCTAGAATCACACAAAACCACATTAGACAGACATATCCTTAGGTATAAAAAAAGGAATACCCTCTATTACTTTATACATTTGATAAGTATATTTTCTGGCAGTAAAGGAGTATTTATTACTGTTCACCTGAGTGATACAGCTGGAAGGATGACTGAGAAGCGTCAATGGCCACAGACACAGGTCCGATGGTGGCGACAGCTTCCTTCAAAGCATCTTCGTCTCCTTGGGTCACATCAACGTAGCCTGTGCAACTGGCACCAACCATGTTAGGGTTGTAACGGCACTGTCCATCCTAAGGTAGAGAGACAAGTATTTTGTAATTCACCAACTTTTTCTAACTAAAACTCTGACCTAATAAGAGATGGATTTCTTAGTCACAAGACTTTCTGTTTTAGGTCACGATACATTGGGCTCCAAGATTGCAGTACTGCGCATTTCTTACATGGAGGATTGAAATTTCCATCTATACTTCTTTTCCCATGATAATGACAAATTGCTATCTGACATCTAGATGTTTCACATATTATATATTTTTAAACCAAACTGCTTGCTGCTTACCTCAGCCTCATAAGGGTAGGAATCCTCTGTGTCTATCCCTCCGTTGGCTTTAATGTACTTAAAAGCGTTGTCCATCAGTCCTCCATCACAACCATAATTTCCATAGTCACCGGAGCAGTCCACCAGCTGCTGCTCGCTCAGAGACACCAGCTTCCCTGTCTTCCTGAAGTTCTGACCCTCCAGTGAGCCAGTCTGAAAGAGAATTTATTCCAATTTAAACCACAAGACAATTGTGTAAAGTTTCCTGCAAAAGAGAGGACACCAAGTAATGTTGGTACATACTGTGCTAAAGGCCCAGCAGGAGCCACACTGCTTCTGATCCTTGACATCAGTGACATATCCCTTATCCCTCCAGTCAACACTTTTGGGCAGATCGGTTACTCCAGGCAGTCGGAGGAAAGCAGAGCCAGTGCGAGGCAGAGAAGTGTTGAAGGAGCCGAGGCAACCCTTGGAAATCAGGTGTCTGTACTCTACATTTTCCTGACAAAGAGAGGCAAAAGTGTCCTTTATTTAGGTTTTGACAATGATAACTGATTGTGACAAATGGTAAAAGTTTTCAACTAAAAGCAGAAACCACATTTGTGTTTTTCTCTTCATACCAAGTCAGCAAAGTAGGTCATGCCAAGGCGGTAGGACTTGATGCCCTGATCAGCCATGATGTTGTGCACCAGCACCAGTCTGCGGTTGGTGAGCCAGATTTCCCTGCGCTGAGCCTCCTCTACCGGGGAGTTGTAGGACCTTCCTGCCAATCAGATAAGGAAATATTTAGTGATAAATTATTAATCCACTAATTCTGTTCCAGCAAAAAGATTTCTCTTTATTGTCAAAAAACTATGTTGGCAGATTACAATTCCCTTTACTTTAAACCTTTAGGTGTGTAAATGAGAACACAGGTGCATTCTAAGGAAGTAGGTAGACCTTTTCCCAGTAAACAGAAGAATACTGTATTTGACAACAGACCACATAAAAAAAACAAGTCTGATAAAATAATCTCACCAAACTTGAGTTTCCAGGCATGGAATTCCAGGTCTTCCAGAGAGATGGAGGCACAGCTGGCCACGGCCAGAGCAGCAGCAACAACCAGCAACAGCTTCATCCTGACTGACACACAAGCAGAAAAAGTCAATCATTTCCTGCAGGTTGAGGTTAAACTCATTTACTTCAGCCCTGCCCACACATTCTCTGCCCGGTTTCTTTGAACCTCTGTTTCATCTCTCCATCAAGCTCTTTCTCGCTGAGTCTCTGTTTCTTATTTGCATCAATGCACCTGCAGCACACAGGAAGTGTGTGCGCTTGTCTGTTGCATGTTTCCTATTATTTCTGCTGTGGTTGCTTACCTGCCACTATGTCGAGTTGATGTGAAGCTTAAGGTAATTCCACCTGTAGGTGATGCAGGGCTGTGTTAGAGAGACATTCTTATATAGCTGACAAGTTATGACTTGCCGTTTGTCCAGTCAGGCGACTGTCAGCTGCTCATAAAGTGAAATAGAAAAGGAAGAGAGTGTTAATCATTGAAAAAGGGAACGGCCAAGTAATGAATTATAAGAACATTGCATGATTCACATGTTTTGGGAAATATATATACAAATCCCTAAATGCTCTTTTAAGAACTCTATTAGTTAATCATCAGTTTTGTTTTTGGGAATCACACCATCAAAGAAGGGGAAACACAGCCTGTATGTGGTTTAGCATGACATCTATTAAAACATTGTTGGGAATTGTTTTTCTGCAGTGCATTCTGATTTTAGTAAAATAGTGCTGGCAAATCTTCTGACATTTTTTCAAAAAGACACATAATGCAATAACATTATTTATGTGGTAACCATGTTTTACTGGAAACCTAAACAACCAAGTTATACCACACTGGAAAATGTGTTTGTAGCAAGCAAAACATTTCTTGTTTCCGGTTATGTATGTGTTACTTTAGCTAACTCCCACTATGTTTCTTTGAGCAATTTTCATAAATGATGTTGTTTAAATAGTTTTCAACCATAATTTCCCCTAAAAAATACTGTAAAGTGTGTTCTCATTCTTTATTTATTAAGATACACAAACAAATGGAACAAACATTATCAAAAACGTACACATTCTCAACAAATATTCTGAACTTTAAATGTTTCCCTTTAACCGAAAGGCTTTGGGAGATTCTGAAATACTTCAAAGAAATATCTACAAAAACATTCTGATAAATGACACCAGCACTTGCTAGTGTTTGTCTCATGATTCATTGGTATTTCCATTTACAGTTGTTCAAGACTTCCTTTCTGTTTCCATACACACATCCTCTTTTTAATTTGCATATAAGAAACAATTAGTTCAAGCAGAAATCATAGTTGGGAATTGAATTCATTAATTTGTTTCTAAGTCATCAGATGATGGCAACCTACATTTGAATTATTATAAGCTCTTTTTTACATTTTGTAGAGGCAATATTCAATCTTTATTTCAGACTCAAGGTCCATATCACATACAAAAGACAAGACACACATCAATAAATAAGATAACAATCTAAACACAAAACAGATAAAAACAAACAGATAAAAAACATAAAATCAGTCCAATCACAGCTAGCACACATGCTCACTGTCTGTATAGGCTATTGCGCCAATGTCTCCAAATCATGGAAGAGAACCGAGTAGAACTCTTCACAGGGTTAATTAAAATCGAGATAACATGATTTTCCGAGTCTTCTAGGCGACACATGAATTTGTACATTAACTTTTTTAAAAGGGCTTGACAAGTAGGTACCCCCAAGTTAAATGTAATCATGTTATTGTCTTTGGCAGTTCAGATTCTCTCTCTGCCCCGCTCTCGTGATGCCTGTAGTCTCTCTATCTCTGTGTGTCTGTCCGTCTGTCACAAGGCTTTCAGGTCAGCAGGACTTAAGACAATAAAGATGCCTTGAAAAAATGGAAAAACTCTGATCTAAGCTAAAAGTTTACAGATGTCATTAAACTCTATGAGCTTGTCTCGTGTTTCTGCCTGTTTGTGGGCAGTCTCTCAGACATGGGTGAAGTTTCAGTAATGTTTGTACATATGTTTGGGTTATTTGCAAATATTTAATTCATTTGGTAATTCATATTACAGCACTAGTTTAATTGTATTATATAACACTTTAATTACTTGCTCATAAAAATAAATAATAATAGAAAGACACATGAGCATTGGTGGAAAAAGTACTTGGAACATTAATACCACAATGTCCAAAAGTTCAAATATTATCAGCTAATTATACTTCCAAAGTAAAAGGACTAATTCAGCACAAATATGGCATTTGTGACTATTCAATAAGACATAGTGATGATGAATAATACTGACGCAACGAGGTGTGAGTAGAATTTGACTGTTGTAGCTAGCTCTAACCCTTTTTTGGACTGCAAATGATTGAATACTTGTATCCAGGTTGAGAAGATTAAAGTAAAAGGAAAAAGTTAATTACTCTTTGTTGGCACTTGTACAACTCGTAATGTGAGGAAGGGCCCCAACTAGACACTGCACTTTTATTAGGCCTAGTCTGCCGAGACTCATCTGAAATGTATTTTCTGTTGAACAGTGGCGGTTCTACACCAATTTTAATGGCGGGGCCAGGCTGGGGCCAGTTATTTAATGTTTCAGTAGTTTTTTTTATTTAGAGTATTTGTTTTAGTAACTTTAAGTGTACAGTATTTGCTTTCATATGGTAATGAACCGTTTAGTCTCCACTGTACATCCGGGTCTCTGATTTGATTTAGTTCCAATAAATCTTAATATTGTAACCTTTTATTTGGAGGGGGGCCACAGAGGGGTCCCTGGTCAGTGTTAGGGGGGCACTAGCCCCTGTTGAAGAACCGCCCCTGCTGTTGAAGCAAACAAGTATCAAGTAGATAGTCAAGTAGTTTTAAATGTACTTTAAAATGGTACAGTTATTAAGTAAATGCACTGAGTTACTTCCCACCACTGCAGTTGAGCAGCAGCTCTTGGCAGATCTTTCAGCTACTTTTGAGGGCACTGATCCCTATAGTTTCATACTGAAACAAAGTGATTCCGTATTCTTAAATCACATTCTGAAAACCGCTAAATGTGTGTGCGATCCTTTGTAATGTTTTGTGTTGCAACCCAATACAAAGATGTGACAAAACTGGGTTTTGGTGACATAGACTGTGAAGAAAAAGTTTGGCAAAATGCTGGCCCACATATTAAAAGAGCAGCTTGTTGGATTTATTGTGTAGCCAAAAATTCAAAGTGTTACTTTATACAGGAATAAAGTTTGTGATGTGCCTTGCATCCTATAAAGCATTTACAACAGTAGTCAAGTGACAAGAGTGGGTCATGAGTCGACACAGATCACATCGAACAGAAACACTTCCTAAGTTCATAGATCAAGGTTTTTGAGTGCTTATGGCCTTGAGGAAGAAGTTGAAGAGAAGCATGTGTGGATGTTTTTTCATACAGAGTATAACTCCTAGATGTTTACGTACATGTGCATTTGTGTGTATAGGTTCTGATTCTACCAACAAACAGAAAAAAGTTTTGAGTGTTTTCCAACACAACCACTTCCACATTATGGATCACTTCTTTCGGTGTCATGTCATTGTGTTGTTTCCTCTGCAATCAGCTTGCACATGACATTTATATATCTTGGGTAATAGCCCTGGAAATGACATATTAACTTCCTGAAATGCAGGGCACAGCTTGTTTACCACTTTTACAGTCAGTTAACAGGTTGATTGTCAGAATATAAAAATAAAACGTTACATTTCACTGCATTTATTTTGGCAAATGTATTATTTCTCAAACGAATGTGTCCCATATCATGTGACTGTCAACAATGACCCATCATGTGACTCCATATCTCTGGTTGAGAACTGGGTAATGTTAAGGGTTTGGCTTACTGTAAAATGTTGACTGTACAGTAAATCTGAGTGAATCAGCTGTTCTCAGTAAGTGTTGCTAAAGATTGTCAATGTTAGCTTCACTTCCCTTTATCGAAGTGAACAAAGGGAGCAACACCATCAACGTTTTTTCCAAAACTACTTCTGCTCAAAATCTAGTAAAGCACACTGCATGCATAATTAGGGTAAGGACCACAATTGTAGGCTGTACAGATTAAAAAGACTTGAGGAAAATGTGTAATTTGTTATATTGGGCTGTATTAATTCAATTGTATTCCTTGTTGATGATCATCATTCTTAAAAATACATTTACACGGAGTAACTCTTATCAATCCCATTATTATCATCATTTTAAATCATATAACTGTCTGCAAAATATGTGGACTGCACTGTTACTGAATTTCTTCATAAGAACAAAATGCAGTAGGCCTTAACACATTTGGCAGAGTTGGAGTTAAGACGCAAATTACAATATATACTTTTTTTTTTTTTTTCCTCAAATTTTACATCATATTAAAGTTAATATCTTTGGGTTTTGGACTAACATTTTTCCACGTTTTCTGTTTTGTTTTTTTAACAATAAAATAAATGCTCTATGTTTATCATCTGCTTGTTTTGTTTTTTTAAATGTTAGAAAATAGAATTTTAACATCTGTACTGTTAGAAAAGAAAGAGTGTGCCATGGACATTTATAATGTCCGTACTCCATAGTAACTACAACCTGGTCGCAGTTTTTTTTTTTTAATCGTAATAATGTAGGTGACGTTTTAGAAAAACACCAGGAGAGGGCAGCATTTCCTTAGACCATACAGTACTGTGAGGTAAATTCCCTCAGCTCCCTCACGTTTCATTAATAAAAAAAATATGCAGCAGTTTTTCTCTTGCTTCTTCAGAACACTTAACATACTGAATGAATCAGTACATATCAATTGTATGATTAGCATCCGTAATTATTACATTCACCCCACACAAACTGTTAAATTATAATGGTTATCATGGCAATTATAAATGCTTTGAGTTTATTGACCTATAGATAATATATGGTGACAATAGCTGTGGGTACACACTCGGTATGGATAGATATTTTAGGATCTGGTGTGAATAGGAAACCCTCATGCCCAGTGACAATACAAGTGTGAAAAGGCAGAAGGATGCTCGGCATGAGAAACTGAGAGGAACGCTAACTCGGTAAACTCTACTAATTTCATTACTCTACGTGTATCCCCAGCTTAGAGCCAATCATATTGTTGGCTGCTATCTAGTGGGGGGTCACACATAACAGCCGTTAAATTGTGACAGTGGCCCAGACTGGCATACCTTAGCACATAATCTTATTATCGGATCAATAACACAGCAACATTTGGTGCATAGCTGAGATGGCTGACTTCTTCTCTGGTTACACATTGCTAGCATTCACCACTCGTTCCCACTTTATAGGTGACAAACTGTGAATGAGGGCAGGAATTCAAATATAAATCCTTTTAATTGAGAGTCGCATAGCACATCCTAGATCACATCTGGCTGTGCTACTGTCTCTAAAATGCATAAAGCTGCTAAATTATCAACACTCTATCAGTGTGAAAGTTTCCACAAAACCTCCATTTCAACAAAGTGATCTCTTCCCAATGCTGAGTGGTATTTCATGCTTTAAATGAGTTATAGAACAGAAACAATTACTCATAATGCCATGCAAGTTGAACATTGAGGAGATGCGGAACTTTACCATAAAAATATTTATTGATATCACAATCTTCTTGGACAAATGAGAAATTACACACAAAGAAATGTCCCAGAAATATTCAGAAATCCTAAATTCATAACATCTAAGAATGACACCGAGAAATTAAGAACTAAAAAAAGAACATTTTCATCAAATTGAACAAACACAAGCTTTGAGTCTGTTAGGAGCAAACAAATAATTTTATAAGTGAACACATTTTAGTTTTTTTCTCCAAAAATGACCTTTATTTTCCACAAAAGATTCCTTCATGGATAAATGAGAAAGTCCACCCGAAACAAATGGTCATCTTATCTCTCTTTATAAAACACAATAACACCATATTTTAAAACACTGGCCTAACCAAACATTTTTTGAAATACACATAAACACCAATAAATAGAAACACTTTATTTTAGAGAGCAAATAATAATAACAACAACCAACAAATCCAGATAAGTGGATGATGACAACCACTGTACCAACAAAGAGCATGAAAGCAAGATAACCAGGGACGTTGGAGGGAATCCCTGCTTGATGCTTTTCTCACCTCCTGTCCCTCCACTCATCCCTCTATCTCTCTGTCCTCCGCAAAAGTCTGTTGTGATCATGTCTGTCTCAGTCCAAACAGGTCACTGTGGCTCACACCTTGCCAAGGCCTGTGCTGCACCGGCAGCATCAGGAGAGATGGAGGAAGAGAGATGCTGAATAGAGAGAGAACAGCAGCACAGATTATAGCCACTCGGTCTCTCTCTGCCTCTCTCTGCTTTATCTCCATGGTGCACACACGTCGACCTGGAGCAAGGCTGTATACTGGCAGGGGACGCCAGGAGCAGAGAGAAGGGGGTGGATGGACGGGGATGGAGTGTGTGGGGGGATAAAGGGACACGCTGCTTCAATAGCGGAGCAGGTCCAGGGACTAATTGGATCTGGTAATGGCTGGTCAATGTGACTGAGGGGCTCGTTAGAACCAATACAGCTCCTTGCCTTTCTTGTGCTGCTGGAGGCCTGAGAAAAAAAGGACAAGGGGAACAATGAGGAGAACAACAGCGAACAACAGAACACAGGTTGTCATGGAGCCTACTTTTGCCAAACATCCTGTTTTAAAGGGGGGAAAAGAGAGCTTCTGTAATGATTAGGATGTTATTATGTGTGCATGTGGGTGTGTGTGAATGGCTGTTTAAATCATAGTCTTTAGGTTTGAATGCATATGTTTTTCTGTGTTTGATTAAGTGTAATCTATATTCAATACCTGGAGTGAAATGTATTTAGAAATGAATGGGACCAATAAAACAAAATATTCACCCTGCAGAATTTCACCGTGCTCAATATGCTCAATTCGATAGTGTTTCATATTCTTTTATCCATAAATGATCTATACTTTCCATTTGCATTTGTTGAACCTGAGGTCTGAGTGTGTTTCTTTTCATTTTCTAATTTCCATATCTGATTTGTACACTGACTGTAAACAAAGGAACAATTTTCCCATATTGTTTTTGCTGATGCCTGACACGGTTGAGTAGTAATACCTGCATCCATGTTGAGGGCCAGCGACTGGCTGAGTTCTCCTGGTGGAAGCAGGCTGGGCCAGGAGGCAGTGGGGTCCAGCTTGCTCACTTCATAGTGGCTTTGCAAGGTAAGGGGATGAGGCGGCCTCACTGTGGGCATGAGCAGGGGCCCGTAGTGGGGGTCCAAAGCTGACGGTGAATACAGTTCATGCAGTGGCCTTGGGTGGCCGTAGGCTTGGGCCTGGGGGTATCCCCAGCTCTCTGGTGGGTGATGATGCGAGTGAGGATGAGCGTGTGGGTGGGGATGAGCGTGTGGGTGTGGCAGCCCTGGGTGTAACGTTGAGGCGTATGGGTCCATGGAATAGGAAGGCGCACCCGTCTCACAGTGGGAGCGGCTCTGAGGCGGGGAGTAGTTACTATCCCAGAAGGATGGGGGGAAGCTTCGTCGACTCCTGCTAGGCGACGGAGTATCTAATGGGAGAGGGAGACAGAGAAGGGAAGGAAGATAAACAACAATGACATTTAGGCCAAGTCACAAACTGTTGCACAACTCTGTAGTGAATCACTTTGATTTATAGAGACATGTGGTAAAGGCTTGAGCTTTGCGAGAGGAGCAACCCGTGCTAAAACGTAGATTTCACTCACATGACTGCTACACCCTCTAGCCCAGATGTCTTCCCCATTGGATCATACTGTCACACAGCCCAAGCCCCCAAAAGACACAGAAATAAACACAACCACATTCTAGCAGACGGAGGAAGAGAGAGACAGAGAGGGAGACAGAGAGACAGGTAGAAGGAGAGATGTCGTAATATCCTAGGATTCTATATAAGGTAGACGCTCTGACCTCGACGGAGCCCAAGAATCACAGATTCCTAAATCACTCGCTGTGGTGACATCTCTCACTCTCATGTCAGCCCAGTACTTCTGAAAGTCTCACAACACACTCACGCACACACACAGACACACACACCAAACTCTTTGGCCCTGTACTTCCACCCGCCGGCCCTCTCCAGTGTCTCCTGCACCCCCACCTGTTGTTTTCTCTGCTCCCCCCTCTCCTCGCCCTTGACAGAATGTCAGCGAGCCATTATAAGTTTTTAGCAGTATACTTATAGATATTCTTCTGAAAAAAGAAACCATGCGACACCCTGAGAGCTAGTGTTTCCCTCTGCCCCTATCACACGGACCACAGCTTACATAAATCTGACCAGCAGGCGGGCAACTGACTGAGCAACCATTGTGGGGCGAGAGCTGGAGTGATAGTCAGAATGGCAGCCGGAGAGACGTTTGAAGGGGATACGCCGACGAGGCTCTGCGCTTACAGCCATGTATAAACATAGCATCTGTTGTGAGGCAGGAAGCGTGTGTTAGTGCCGAAATGAAGACGTCCGACTGAACTAGGAAAGACACTAACAGTGGTAGCAGAGAGAGTAGGGGCTATAGGCCCTATATGGATATTAAAGGGACATCTTCAGGCTGCTGGTAGAAAGGGATTTAGATGCTTCTAGAAGATTTGCAAAACACTAAGTTTGTACTTTGCAATACACATGAAAGCAAAAACCCTTATAATGCAGTTTTTTTGTAATGCTTGTCAGGGTAACATTTATGTATGTGTATATTTTTTGTAAACATCCAAAAGTGTTATCATAAATTACAATGGACTATAATTAGTAGTTCTAAAGTGGCAAGTTTTTGAAGCGTGCCACACAATATAATGATGCCTCCACTAACAATTTCCCAAATCTCCAATCCAATGGCACAGCATGCTTTCTCTTGCTCTTCTTAAAAGTGTTACGCTAACCAGAGTCAAAAAGTCCCTTTGGACTCTCAACAGCTCCTGGCCTTTGTGACCTCTGAACCCGACCCCCCGACCTCTCCAGGAACAACAGTCCCAACAAGCAGCTTTTTAGTCCTGTCACATGATCACATCACCTGTCTGTCCCTCTGAACTGTCAACTCACCCTGTGTGGCCGAAAAATCCATCTCAAGACATCACAAAGACAACTGTGGCACAGGTGCTCACATAAATAAATGGATATTATAATGACGCAGTGATGTAGTGGAGGGCAAAAAAACACCAAAACTCAGTTTCCCCGGAAAAAGGCTGACGTGAACCTTCATGAATTAAATGTGATGTAAACAGTCAACAGTAGCATTCTGATTGGGACCCATGAAAAATAAAAAAGCAGTATTCATTAAAATACATCAGCGGTTGTTTGTATGCTGTTCTGAAAATGCAATGTTTTTTACTTCTCCAAAGTCCACTACGTTTTGGTTTTTCCCACTATTAACAAAAGGACTGGTGGGTGCCTTTTTTATCATATTAAAAATGTACAAAGTGGTATACCCGTGCCTGGTTGGTCTGCTGCCCGCCGTTTGCCCTCTCCATCCATGTAGGAGCTGAGGGCCCTGGAGAAGTGCTCGTCCACCACGCTGCTGATGTCTCCCTGGTAGTAGCTGAAGAGAACACAGCGAGAAGTCAGGTACTCTGCCTCAGGGGGCTCCTGCTTCTCCTTGGGGCCCTCCTCTTGCCGTGAAGCCACAGGCGTGAAGGAGGAAGAGGAAGAGTTGGATGAAGATGAAGAGGAAGTTGATCCTCCAGCGCCTGGGCCCCCAGACATCCCCTCGGGACCCCTGGGAGTGTCCATAAAATCCCGGCAGAGAGGAGAAGTGCTGCTCAGAGCAGTGGGAGCCTGTCAGGGGGGGTTAGAGGACAAGCAGGGGAGGAGAGGGTTAAAACAGGTGTTCGAGAGGACAGTCCTGGAGCTGTCTATGACACATTTTGACATAATGTTTTTCTTTGTGTGTGGCTGCGCTGGCATGTGTGTTCGTGCGCGCAAGCAAGTGAGCGTGCGTGTGTCAGGATTTTAGTTTTGTGTGTGCAGAACTACTTCTGTGCTTGGTAAGACACCAACAACGCTGCTAATTTAGATATTCGTGAATTACTTATGCAATCAAATACTCAAATAACAAACGTAAAATAAAAAAACTACATTCTTACGATCTATCAGGTGTCTTGCTTTTACGCACAAGATGCATACATTAGCGGTGCCTCACATCAAGTGTCCCCATCACCCCGTTAACACTGAACAAACACTGAAAAACTAAATAATTATTACGAGAACATTTTCATTTTTGCTGGCGTCCTACCTGTAAGCTATTGATAAAAGCAGTCGGTGCGTACGGTGCGTAATGTCCATAGGCTGGGTACATAACATCCAAACAGCTCATGGTAAATGAGCGGTGTCTTCACTGCTCTGTGGAAACCGACCTTGTTGAGAGAGCGAGTGATAACATTCCGTTTTTTTTGCCGAGAAGAAATGAGCTCTGTGATCGCTGATCAGTGTGAGAAAGCCTTGGCCAGACTCGACATAGTCCCCCCAGAAGGAGCGCACCTCTCTGCTCACTGTGTGCGCCACAACAGCTGCAGCAGCAACG